TGTCCAGGTGTCCCTGTGATGGACTGAGACCTGTCCAGGTGTCCCTGTGATGGACTGAGACCTGTCCAGGTGTCCCTGTGAGGGACTGAGACCTGTCCAGGTGTCCCTGTGATGAACTGAGACCTGTCCAGGTGTCCCTGTGATGAACTGAGACCTGTCCAGGTGTCCCTGTGATGAACTGAGACCTGTCCAGGTGTCCCTGTGATGGACTGAGACCTGTCCAGTGTCAATGTATTAATATTATAACACATAAAAAGAAGAAAAGCTGACCAAAGAGCTTTACAGTTTAGTTCAAATGAAAACAATAAGAACACATAAAAACATCTTGTTCCTCTCAGGGCACAGAAGACGTTAATAATAAAAACTGGTTTTCAAACTTTGTACGGATTAAAGGCTGTAGAAGATCTGAGCACAGATTGAAAAGTTCCTGCAGTCTTTAAATGAACAGGTAACTGTTCCACAGCTTTGGAGCAGCAACCTCTGGACTTCAGTCTGGATCTGGGGACATCGAAGAGGAACTGGTTGGTAGACTGGAGTCCAGGGTGTCCCCCGCCTCCCGCACAGTGATGGCTGGACACGGGCACCAGTGACCCCACAACTCAAAAAGAAAGAAGCAGGTTAAAGATGATGGATAAATGGACTTCCATCTTCCTGTCGATTTTCACCAGTCATTCATCCCAGTATAGCCTGGATCCCAGTGAGCCTCCACATATTCTTGTTTGAGTGGAGACTTGAGATCATCCATTAAACAAACGTTCAATCAACACAAGATTTTTACAATTTCAGCTTTTATTGAAGATGTTGAGGCAGCTTATTCATATACAACAGTTCATAAACCGATTATTGTTAATGCGATGACGCCACCTTGCAAGGCTACGTATAATTACTGCGTAATATATATACTGGTACTGTGTTTTTGTAACAGCACTGATTGTACTCAAGACAGTCTCCAGGTTATAACCATATCCACATCTTTCACTGGTGTGTAGCTCACTTTAGCTTTTAAAGAGGATTTCAGCAATAAATCACAGCGTGCTTGGACTTTTTCTGTAAGGCTAAACTGATGCTCATGAAACAAAAGCATCTTTGCCTTCCTTGGATTAACTAAGTTCAATAGTCCAAAAAGCTTTCATCTTCTTACTGATCCTCACAACAACTTCATGTTATTGTAGGAAAGATCATTAAAATAATCCAGCTGAATCTTCATGCCACTGTAAGAAATGTCTAAATGCTGTTTCTATTACGTTTGATTCCTTAAAGGAGGAGCACAGACCTGGAGACAAACTGGGACAAGGTTCTGAGTCAAAACCAGTTATGTTCTACCTGAACAAAGCTTTGAGAGCTCCATCATCCAGGTACCGTATTTTCTGCCGTACACGTCGCACCAGTCCAAATACGTTTAATAAAGTGGAAAAATCCATAAATACGTCTCTTCGCCGTACACGTCACATCTATTGTGCATCACCGCTGACGCGTTTGTTACGCGTCACTGCTGAACCTGGAGATGTGGGCCGGTGTCGTGCCAAAATCAATTGGCTGCCAAAGGGCAGTCCAGGGAGCGTGCATGGGAGGATTTAACAAGTTGATCACTTAAAATCAATAATTTGTTTGCTCCACATTATAGTAAAGTTGTGTCTCAGCTGAACTTTTACTTAATAAACGCACTTCGATGGTGAAATGAGCTGCACATCTCGGGCGGTGCAGAGAAATGAAGCTGATCTGACGGTTGCTCCAGGCGAGCTGGACGGAGGTGGCAGGCTATGGCAAGCTGATTGTGTCATTAATAGCCACTTTTACCCATTACATGACACAACGGCATGCCATATGACTCGAGTGCCATCTAGCGGCTGAAAATGGTAGTGTTCAATATCTTCAGTCAGAATGAATGAAAAGGGTCAAATCTCAGAGAAACGTTTATAAATATGGAAAAAATCCATAAATACGCTGCTTCAACATACATGTCGCAGGGCAGGCAGAAAAACATGGTAGATCAATCACAAAAAGTTACATCGTGTCATCTGGACAGAGAACGTTTCGTCTTTCATCTGAAGGACTTCATCAGTCTGAGGCCTGCCACCAAGAACAGTCGTGTGAACCGCACCACTGACGTGTTTCACACCAGCTGCTGTGGAGTTCACAGGAACTGACTTCACACGTGCACAAAGGACCATCACGCAGCTACTCATCGGACCAGCCTGAGGACAGCTGGACAAGATGTTCAGAAAAAGGTTTAAAGCTCCATCGTCCAGGAAGAGAAATCCAGAAGCCTGTGAGCTCCAGAGCAGCAGCTGTGAAACACGTCAGTGGTGCTGCTCAGACGTCACTGTGGCAGGCCTCAGACTGATGAAGTCCTTCTGATGAAGGAACGTTTCTTCCAAAAAGAATCTGTCCAGAAGACATGATTTAACATTTTGGTGATTTGTTCAAACTGGTTACACTGGATCAGTCAAACTGGAGCCAAACCAACCATGTAAAGAACTAAAACCAAGGTTTAATAACCAGGTGTCTTTCTGGAGGCCCTCTGGTGAGCGTGCTGGTGGTCATTTTTAAACTTATTGCTCTGTGTAAACTTACAGAAGGTGTTGATGTCCAGCGGTCCGGCTCCAACGACACAAGAAGTCCAACTCTGGTTCTGACCCATCTCAGAGAGCTGCATCAGAACTGCTCACATGACACTTCCTGTCTGTCTGTCTTTAAATGTGGAACAAATGTTTTATTTTATTTTTGTCTTATTTCCCTGAAGGAATGTTCCCAAGGGACAATAGAGTCTAATCTAATCTAATCTAATCTAATCTAATCTAATCTAAAGTAAGTAAAATCTCAGAAATGGACATTTTCATCTTTTCTCCATTCATTCACCGCCTTTCAAAGCTTCTTCTCCTGCAGTTTCTCAGACCACCCTTGCAGATTCTGACGTCACCTTTTAGAAAAGAGGAGCTCGTTTCTTTTCCTACCTCAGAGCACGAAGCGCTCACTGAGCCTGAGATTCACTTTTTAACTCTGAAAGATCAGCTGTGGCTCCATCCTGGAGCAAGAAACATGTTCAGCTCTTCAGCAACCTTTAATTTAAGGCACAGTCTAATGCCTGGGGGGTCATTGA